AAACCCAAAGATACGTCATTCACGCACGTCCTAGTGCAGCTTTCACTTGGCCTTGGCTTCGGCAGGGGGGTCCACCGGGGCCAATAAATAAAGGCAAGACTTGGGAAGGGCTGTGGGGAGGGGGACAGCAGTGTCCCCTGTCCCTGGGGAGGCTCAGCCCCAAAGCCAGCGGGTTCTGCAGCGTGGGATGGGCAGGAGGAGCAGAGGTGTTTGTCCTGTGTGGGTTTGATCCAGAGCCCATRGCAAGACCCAGTCTGGGCTCTGGATCAGGCCACGCCGGATCTGTGTGATGGAAAAATGAAATCCTCACACCAGCCTGGAAGGGAGAAGCCCCGAGGAGCAGAGGGACCTGTGGGACCGGCCCACGGGCATCTCCCTGGTGCTCCACAGGCAGCTTTTCCTTTCCTTTCCTGAGCCTTCCTCCCGGGACAGGCACAGGGTGGGTCCCTGCAGCTCATCCCGGCTGTGCCAGAGCCTGTTTGAGGAGSACACGGAGCCATCAGCTCCTCCCTGGGATGTTGCCCCTCTGCTCCTCCTCCCCAAGACACGACTGCCAGGCTTAACTAAGGAAAAGAATAAACATTAATCAAATATGTTCGGGTTTTCTTAGCTGGAAGAGGTGTGTTCAGTGCTGCYTTCCCCTGGTTTTGGAACAAGCCATCCTGATAATAACCGGGCTTTTCCCAGCCCGGGAACGGAGAAAAGGCTGTGCAGGGACACCAGGTCCCCGCTGCAGCACTGCCACCCGCCCTCCCCAGTCCTTTCCCTGCCCTCCCCCTCCGAGCCCCGCACTGCCCCTTGCCTTGCCAAAGCCTTTTCGTCCCGGTGGAAGCCCCCTCTCCCCGCCGCACCCCCTCATTCCCGGCTTTCGGGGAGGAGGGCTGAGCTGTGCATGTCCTCCTCCTCTCGGAAGTAGGCGGGCTTTCCCTGCGAGCTGGGGCTCTGCTGTGCTTTGGCSGGGCAGTTGGCGACCATGTGGCTGATGCTCTGGCAGAAGTGGCACTTCTTGGGCTGCGGCGGGAGCTTGCACTCCTTGGCGTGGTGGTCCAGCCCGCCGCAGTTGTAGCACCTGCATGAGGGGAGGAGAAATAAAACGAGCTGGGAGGATGCTGTGACATGCCTGGGACTCRTTTGGCTTCGTAGCCAGAGCTGGGCTTAAAACAGCCTGGCAGCTGTGGGATGTAGGCTCGGCTTTTGGGGTTGGTCCTTGCAGAGCCCCAGCTCCAGCACGGCCASTTGGGGCTCGGTGGTGCTGCTGGTACCCAGGAGATGGCAGCAAACCCTCGCATGAAACCACACACGGAGACAGATCGGGATGTTGGGGGCTTCCACCCCTCAGGCTCCACCAGTGCCTGGCCCCTGTGTCACCAGACCCCACTGCCAGGGTGGCACTGTCACAGGGACAGGCGACAGGCCCGCTGTCATCGTGTGGGTGCCACCTTCACACCAGAGCCGTGTGGGCAGAGAGAGCTGCCTTGTGTCCGTTTGAAATCCTGCATCCATGTAGGATGCCCACAACCCTCTTTTCATTTTCCTTCACAATTCCTTTCTGATAAATTAAAAATCCTGAGTATGAGAACAGCTGAGTGGGGYTGACAGCATCCTCCGGGATGAGGATGGAGAGGATTGGGGGTGATAAAGAGCTGGCCAAAAACTCGCCCCGGGGCTCCCATCTCACTGTGGGAGACGCTGTCAGGACGTCCGGTGATTTCCTTCCCACAACGAAGGATTTCTCTCGGAGAAAATGACCCCGGCCCAGCAGGGCTCCCCGAGCGAGGGGAGCGGCCGCCCGGGGTGTCCCTGACCTCTGCCCCTTCCCTGCTGCTTCCCTGCCCTTTCCCCAGCGAGCTGCATCTGCCACTCATTAAGCGCTGCAGGAAGCTGCTTTCCCCGAGGAGGGGTCACTGCCCGTCCCCCCGGAGCCGTGCCCATCCCGGGTGCTCCCGGTGCCTTCAGCCCCTGCCCGGAGCAGCCCCTTACCGATCTCCTTTCGATCTGCGCTTCTGGAGGCTCTTCCCTTTGGGCCTCCTCTCGCTGCCGATGCAGAAAACGCCCCCGGGGCCGGTCACCCGGATGGATTCCAAACCTTTGGATGATTTCTTGAAGGTGAACTCGACAGCTTCGCCCTCCTTCAGGCTGCGGAATCCCTCCATGTGGAGCTTGCTCTGGGGGGCACAGGGAGAGGAGGGGGCTCAGCACAGAGCTGGGGTGTTCTCAGGGGCACCAYAAACCCCTCCTGTGGCACACGAGCTGCCGATGTCCCCCTCTGCCTGTCCCGTGTTTGTTTTTTTTTAATACAGAAAAATCTGGAGGCTTTGCGCCGACACATGAACCCAGTTCGTGGCAGGGCTGGCACTGCCGGCCCCTCACTGCAGCTCACCTCGGCTCAAACCCTTTAATTGCCTGCAATAATTAATTAAGCAGCCATTTGGCACAGGATTATCACTGCTGGGAGCTTCTCCCRTTCCTTCCAGGAACACCACATCGGTTATCAGCACACAATCAGACTAGAGGGGCCAAGAAAAACCCAGCCTGGGGAGGGAGGGGGGTTGTGAGATGCCAGGAAAATCCGCTCCAATTCAGGGGCTCTGTCCATTTTAGCAGAACAAATCCCTGAGGAGCAGAGCCGGCAATTCTTAACCCCTGTGCAGAGCATCCCTGCCTGCTCTGCCCGAGCAATTCCAGCTCGGTTTTCCCCCAGCTCTGAGCCGAAAGGAGCCGTGAGCGGGGAGCGAAGGGGAATTTGCGGCTTTCCCCCAGCTCTGAGCCAAAACGAGCATGAGCAGGGAGCGAAGGGGAATTTGCGAATTTGCGGCGGAGGGAGGAGCAGCTCCGGTCCGCTGGGGATTCCCAACGCCTGCGCGGCTGCAGCCCGGCCGGACCGCGCGTTTATGAATGGAGCATCTCCCCATTCATGGCCCGCACAGTTCCCATCACGTGGGCCCCGCTCCTCTCCCATTCTCCCCGCATCCACAGTCCGTGTGATCGCTCTGTGGGACAGGCAGGCTCCTGCCTTTACCCCAAATCTCACTGGGACTTACACCCCATGGAAACACAGAGGGAAGAACTGGAGATGTTGGGTTTTTCTTGGCAGGATGTAGGAGGATGCCCGTGTGCCCATGGGCACGAGAGGAGTGGGAGCGCAGCAGAGCTCAAGGAACAGTCCTTGAGACCCCTCTTTGTGCTGCTTTTGCCGTCCCTTTCCGTGTCTGGGGTGCAGCTCCATGTGCTGGGTGCAGTGACCCACATCCTCTGGGTCCCCTTGCCTGCTAGGATGGGATCYAGACCGGGCTACCTGGGATTATCCWTTGCTCCCTGAGCTTCTCTGTGCCCAAAGGGAGAGCCAAACCCTCACCTCGAGGATCCCCAATGATGACAAGGACATGAGAGGCCCTCACTGCCACCTCTGCCCTCCCAGAGCCGTTCCAGCAGCACCTGCAAACCCCACGGTGACCAAACACTGTCCCCAACACCAACCCAGCTCCCCYTGTGCTCAGCATCCCCCACGCTGTGCCCAAAGCAGCAGCACATCCCACAGCTCCCTCRGCACAGGAGCCTGTCCCCCCAGTCCGGGAGGTGATTTGGGCAATAGGATTCCCACAGCTGGGGAATTTTCCCCCCTCCAACACAGTTTTGGGGGTAAGGGGGGGCTGAGCATCCCTCCCTGGCACAGGAGCAGCCCGGGAAGGCCGGGATGAGSCCAGCCACCTCCCCTGGCTGCTCTCAGAGCGTTTATAGCCCCAGCTGGCCCAGCTGTGTTTACACTGTGGGGATGAAAACTCCCGAGCGCTCAGCCCTGAGCTTCGGGATAAAGCTGAGCCGTCCCGGGGGGACCCCAGAGCACGGGCTGGGCCCCCCCAGCTCAGCCACACCTCGGGCACCGTCACCCACTGCCGGCTCCAGCCCTGTCCACCTTCACCCCCACCTCGAGGAAGAGGAGGATGGGGCAGAAGCTGCCACAACACGATGGGGAAGCGATTTATTTTCCAGGAGCGGGTGAGGATGACAATCACCCCCCCAGCCCCCTTCGCCAAAAGGCCAAAGGAAACGCCCCCTCCCCAGGGAAGGGGGGGACAGCGGCTGGGGCGCCCCAGCTCTCCCCCCCTGCCGCAGCCTTTTGATGTGAGCTGCAGAGTGGCTGGTGGTCCCTGCGCATCCCCCCTGCCCCCTTCCCAAAACACACACATTGCTGGCATTCCTCTGTTATCAGATAGGTAATCAAACTGCAGCCCATTGAATTAGCTGCATACCTCCTGCATCTGAAAGGAAGGGGCCCAGAGCCCCTGTCCCACACCACACACAAAGCCGGAGCCTTCCCAGGCCTCCACACACCCACACCCCCCCCAAAAAAAAAAATAAAGAGAGGAAGGGGGGGATTGGAGCGAGCCGGGGATGCTGGGGATGGGGGGAGCGCAGGGGAGGGCCGGGGCCGGGAGCCACCGGCCAGCGAGAACAAAGGGCCGGCGGCGGCCGCGCTCCCGCTGCCCAAATTCCAGGAGTTCCAGGCCCCGGCGGGGGGAGGAAGGGTGGCCGGCATGGCCGCGGCCCCTCTGACCCCCTCCAGCCCCTCCGCACATCAGCGCTGTGCCCGCTCTGCAGCACCGGGGCTCGGCTGGGTAATGGGCTCTGCGTGTCCTGGGGGAGCCAGCGGTCACTCTGGGGGGTGCACGGTGGCCCTGGGCTCGGGATCACCAACCATTGCCATCCCAAGAGAAGAGCAGCCTAACGCCAGGAGCTCCTTGTGGTCACCAGGGTGGGACAAGGGACAGGAGCAGAGCTGTGGCCATCAGCCCCCGGCCATCACAGCGGACACCTCTGCGCTCTCCCAGCCTTCCTTTCCCTTCCCTCCCACCCCCATCCCGGTTATTTCGGTTATTTCGGGCACACAAAGACGCAGCACGTGAGAGCCGAGCGCTGCCCACCCCCCATGGCACCCCCACCCTGCCCCCCGCACCTTCATCCCTCCTCTTCCTCCCACCCACAAATCCCTCAGCACATCCAGACTCGTTTCCTCTGCCGAAGGGGTGGCACCGTGGAACTCCCCAAACCCCATCGCTGCCCCCCAAAAGTGCCCGGCTCCGCTTCACCCCCGCCCGCCGGCTCCGGAGGGGCTCTGCCCGCCCCGGGGTCACCATTGTCCCCGCGGCCTCCCCAGCGCGACACAAGGGGACGTTTATTCGCAGGCAGCCCCGGCCACTCAATCAAACCATCTTTGTGTCCAGCGGGGCCTGGGGCGGAGCGGCCGCTGCACCTCGGCTCTGTTTAAACCGAAACCGCGGGGAAAACGAGCCGGGCTGGGATCTGGGACAAGAGCGGCTGCAGGAGCACTGGGGRCAGTGCCAGGCTGTGCCAGGGGAATGGCCGAGCCCTGCCCTGAACGTTTCAGGCAGCTCAATCCCACTGCAGGCAGTGCCAGTGCCTCAGTTTCCCCCATTCTGTAGGGGAGAGTCAGGAAAAATGGCCCAGGGATTGCCGAGGTACCCTGTCCGTGATGACCGAACACTGCTGGGTGCCAAACAAACCCCCAGAGCAGACTTCGGCAGGGCTGGGCTCTGCCAACACGGGCAGTGACCCAAATTCCCAGAACACGGCAGGGAAATGTCCTTTTGCCTTCGCAGRCAGTGCCTGGATCGGTCCCTGTTCCCAAAGGCAAAGCTTTGCCCTGTCCCCACATCACACAGCAAATCTTTCGCGGTGCCAGAGGCTGCAGGGACCGTGCTGGGGCTGGGTTTTGGCTCAGGAGGGAAGGTTTGGAAAGGGGGTCCCGCCTCAGCCCGGGGGTGGTGCCGAGATAAGGAGGGCGATGCGTGCGGAGCCCTCGGGGAGAGCGCGGGGGATTTAACAAAACGTTACCAAAGCTTTCCCCTGGCTCCCTCACCATCATCTGGCGCGATATCCCTAAAGACCTTCCCCCGATTTCCACTAAAATCAAAATCAAAATTAAGACATTTTCCTGCCGAAGTAACTTWGTTTGCTCTTAATTTTCCACCACAAGTCAGCAAAATGAAACTTCAGATACCAATTCCGAGGGAAGGGGGGGAAAAAAGCATCTACCACAGGGTTTAATCCATCAGTTTCCTGTCCTAAATCCTTTTAGCTCCTTTGGTTGTATTTTTCCTCACCAAAACCCTCTTGCGCTTCCCAGGGGCAGCTAATTGGGATCAGCGCGTATTAATTTTGTGCTCCGGTGTTAAATAAGGAACACGGCCGAGAGGAGCCGCGCGTCTTCCGACGGTGATTTCAGCCGCGTTCCGCTTCTCCTCGGGAGCCGGGGAAAAAGGAAAGGAAACGGCGGAGCTGTGGCTGGGGCTCCATCCCTCCATCCCCACCCCATCCCGGCAGCGATCCCATTCATTTGGGCCATATTATCTAAGGAGACCATTCCAGGGTGTTTTCTCTCCCTGGGGCAGGGAGGGGGAGCTGGGGGAAGGGATGTGCCTGCGGCCATCAGTTAATCTTTACACAGAGACAGCAGGCTTTTTTTTTTTTTTTTTTTTTTTTTTTTTTT